AAAATTATTAAAATTCAAAAATGTCAATTTCAACACCTTCCCAGAGAGTTCCTAGTCCAAAGCAAGTTTGCCTATTGCAAAATCAGAAGTGGCCGAAAACGTCATTTTTCTGATCTTTAAAGTTAAGTTCCCTGTAATTAAATTCGTTTCAACACAATAAAGCCAGTTTTCCACTTCAGCCGCATTGTACCAAAACGTAGCGTATTTCTTTGTTTCCTGAGCGGTAGTGCGGAACTAATGACTTCGACATAAAAGCACTGTGACCAACAGAGCTGCAAAGGCCAGTTGCCGAGCTCTAACCACAAGTTCATGTTTGTATACTAGGGTTCTGCCATGTGTAGGTTATGGGTAAATGTCGAGATTTTGTTGGCATCTCACATGGAAATTATTGAGTGGAAATTTATATATTTAACAATTATTCGCCGAAGGCGAGATGATTATCGGGGAATATTCCCCGATAATCACCGAGCCTGAGGCGAATAGTTGTTTTAGTATTTTTGCACAAGTTTTTTGTGTTTTTCTTGTCTGAATTCATTTTAATTTTGCTTATTTCTTTATCACTAACTTCAACAAAACGGCTAGCCGCCATTTTGAAAATTTCGATTTGTAATATTCACCTGTAGGTGAATATAACAGATTAGTACGTCAAATTTGACCAATCACATTGTAGGATGTGTTATGTTCACTTGTGCAAGAATACTAAGTATATTTATTAGACTTAGTTGCTTAACTAATATGGACTGTGGGGGGGAGCAATCGCAAACTCCCCCCCCCTCCCCCTAGTGTCCATCATATTCAGTGGCGCTGTGGGACCCATGTTTTTGGGGGGGCCAAGGGCAGTACTTTTCCGACAAACCGGAAAATAGTTTCCGACAGAAACGGCGCGAAAATTTTTTTTAGCTGAAATTTCTTGGCCGACCACCCCACCCCCTCCCCGTCGCCAAAAAAATTTCGGCTATTTTAGGGGTCAAAAAAATTTTTCGGACATACCAAAATTTTTCCGGACATCGCCAATTTTCTCCATTTATCAAAAATTTTCCAAATATACCAACGACGGAAAATTTGACAATTTCCGACAACGTTCACAATTTTCCGACGGGTCTCTACAATAGGGGGGGGCAGGGCCCCCCCCCGGCCGTGGCGCCTCTGATCATATTGCATAAAGAGACATAGGTCTTGTAGTTTGGTATGGTTAATTCATTAATGGGCGAAACTCTCCCTTTGACAAGTAAAGTACTTATCTGAGACAGTCAAACATAGTGAAATATTGTTAAATGCGTCAACTTTACTTCTTGACAGGTGCAACAACATACCTGACCAGTGACGAAGGTGAAACACACGGCTGGGTCCCGCAAGAATGTATTGACTGGGTTGGATTGTATTCTGATAAGATACGGAAACCTTCAGATGCACCAATACATTTCAGGTGGAAAGAGAAATCAGATATCCAAGTGGCAGGCATGGTGGCATTTTACATCGTGACCAAAGGAAAGCATCCGTTTGGTCCGAGAATAGACCAACTGAAGGATTTGCATGATGACAATCCAGTGGGTTTAAGCAAGCTCAGTGATCATGTGGTCGAAGACCTGCTTTCTCAGATGTTGGGTCGGGATCTAGATGAACGACCATATGTGGAGCAAGCCTTGAAGCATCCTTTCTTTCTCTCTTTCGAAGAACAGATGAAATTTGTACAAGCTGTGGTTAACGAACCTAAATTCATCAATTATGCATCTGAACATCGAATTTCTTTGTTACCAACCGATTGGAAAAGAGTCTTTGGCCATGAGGACCTCAACACATTGTGTAGAGGAGGTCACCGCTCCCCGTCAGAGTATAATGGTAGCCGATATACTGATTGTCTTCGATTGATAGGAAACACATGTCAGCATCCGGATGGCAAACTGCGTCAATTGAAAAAGAAGACACCGGCTACTTCGTCTCTTGAACACTATTTCCTTCAACTATTTCCAACACTCCCGCTTGTTCTTCATCAAATAATAAGAGAGGATCCCAAATGGAAAACACTTCCTGCATTGAAGGAATTTTTTCCTGTGATAGACCGTCGCAAGCGTCCGATACAAACTAAAGCATACACGATGTATCAGGTTAGTATATTTCATGATTGTTTTCATTATTCCTTTATTATTCCCAGTCTTAAAACATGAATTGGATAGGAAGGAAAAAACTAAAATTCATATTTGAATGAAACTGTTTCTAGCTAAAATTTTGGGAAATTTACAGAAAAATTAAACTTTGAAACTGTAATTGATTCACCATACAATATACAATACAATTACAAAGAAAGAACAAAAGAAAATAGCAGATGGTGAGGATACCTCATGAAACCACTGGGCTTATCTAGTGAGGTCCACTCAAGCCTCCAACATTCTAGTATAAATGCCGCCACGTCATGTAGGCACCTCGCAAAGATCAAGACATTCGTCCCCCTGTTGGTCCAAGCCAATCTGGTTATTTTGAATGTTTTCACGTGGGTGATGGCCACAAGCCTTACATAGAGCAGATGCTATAGGTCCTTATTCTGTGGGAGAGGCTAGGAACATGGCAGCAGGTTGGCTGATATCAAAAGGGCCGACAAGGAGTCAGACTGAATTAAGTACACAATTAAATTATACTAGAATACGTTATATTGGTGTAATTTTAAGTTTGCATCATCAACCTGCAAAGTTCCTGGCAACCTGCAAAATTCCCACCTGCAAAATTTCCAACCTGCAAAATTCCAACCTGTAACCTGCAACCTGCGTTTTGTACCTGCCGCTAATTTTCGATTAGTGTGAGCAGCGACGCGAATCAGCACACAATATTAACTTGTTTTTATTACATAAAATCCCTTTAACATTTCACGCTGATAACAACTAACTATATAGTACTATTATTGCCCGCTGCCGATCGGATGGATTCGGTGACAAGGTTATGATGGGTCATCATCTTAGCCCTGCTCATAACAAAGCGAGGAGTCATCGAGACCTGCCAACTAATGGTACCTCCTCCAGATATATTTTCCAACGACGATAGGGGTTGAAGTAAGTTACCATTGGTACCTCTTCCAAAATAGGAACCTCCAACCCCTCGCATGTTCGAATTTGCGCTAGCGAGAACGTCAACCTGTCACAGCCGAACCCATGAAGGGTGGCGTTTCTCCCTAGACCGGAGAGGCGTTACGCTTGAAAGAACGGCGAATAATAGGACATCGTAATCACGTCAATAGAGAGTTTACGACGCGGCCGGCTCAACTACGCGGTCTGAATTTCAGCTCAAGAATGAGCGCTAAGCAATTTGATTACTGCAGTACGCCCTGATTAATAAATATTTGACGCTTTCTCAAATAACCTTACAAACTGCTAAATTCGGCTAAAGCGATGCAATGTTTGCAGTAATTTCGACTTTAAGTAACACCTCTTGGGTCGCATTTATCACTTATTTACTAAGACCGAGGGAAACTGTGTTTTGTGGACCTGAGACTGCCGTTGTTGCCCGAGGCGAAGCCGAGGGCAACAACGGCGGTCGAGGGGCCACAAAACACACTGCTTTCCCGAGGTCTCAGTAAATAAGTGTTTTGTTATATAGTATAGAAGTGTCAAAGTATGAATAATTCACCGGTTATTGGAGTGAACTTAATTTGAAACCAAAACTGGATAAATGGAACGCCGTAAATGTTTAGTAAAAAGTTTAAAAATGAACTTTGAAACTTCATGGTTGACACGCATGTGTATTGCACCCATTTTATTATTGACCGGTCAATAAATTGCGGACCGGTTGCCGAACATGACGATTTGTGGACCGGTACGTGACACGGTTTTGACCAATCGGCAAACAGAAAAATTGAACTTTGACACTAACTATGTAGCAATAAGCTTTCACGTTGCTTGAAAGACGTAATAATGCTTAGTTTAACGTTGTGTTGAGAGTGATAACGCCGTTGAGAATACCCCTGGGACCACGAATTATTCGCAGTTTTTGTCTTGCATTAAAATTTCTTTGTTTTGAAAGCGCGTCGTCGAGCCGGCTGCGTCGTAGTTAGTAAACTCTCTACAAGGTGTCCCAAAAAAACCCGAAAACTATTGAAATCAGCAATAACAATTTAATTGTTAGAATTTGAATGCCTTAGCGCTCTGTTGGTTCCCACGAGTGCATAAATGATTGACATAAGTAAATTTTATGGATAAAGAAACTGTTTAAGAGGCAGTCTCTGTAAGAACCTCATGACCTCTTTGGATCAAGAAATATATTTCTCTCAAACTTGGTACTTGAGATTGCCTTTATCAGGGTTGCTTCAAAATGCATCTTGTTTTCAGTCTAACTGCATTTTAGCAAAGTTCCAGGGGGGTCAAGTTGAGGGTTAAAATTATGATTTTTGCTGTTTGTCAATACTGTGGATTTTTACCGATTTGTAAAGCTCTCTACATCAAACAAAAATAATGATAAAACTAAATCCTTCCACACAATAGTAGCTTTATATGTCTTAAGTAAAAATATATCCACAAGTTTTTCAAATATGTTTTCTAAATATAGAATTGACATCATTCATGACAGACTAAAATAGAGATTTCCAAGTTCCTGAAAAATTGTTGAAATAAAACCCCTAAAATTCAAAAGTTAGACTTGCCATGAATGTAATATTATTTGTGTGGTGAGACTAAAGGTTGGTCTTACATAATGTAAAATTAAATATTGCGGCCTGTAAATTCTGGGGGTACTACAGGCCAACAAATAATCAACATTTTCGACTTTCGGTAGTTTAGATCAAATAAGAATGTTCACCGTTTACTGTAAACTCTGCTTTCAAAGACCGAGATTTTACTTATTATTTTGACCTAGAACAGTGATAACATTCGTTTGACCTTTGCTGTTGTCTAAAGTCTTTTAGGGAAATGCACTGACACAGGCATTTCCCGTTATGTAGGACCGTATTGTATAAATAATGAAAATTTTCTAGCTGAATATAAACAAAACAAGTTATAAATTTGCAACAGGTAAAGATGTCCGTTAGTCAACAAATTATCGAACATCGATTTACTTTAAAGATTTATTAGTTTTATATTTTAAAAGTCAAGAGAAAAGTACTCCAATATTAAATTAACTAATACAAGGATATGCCTCGAACGACAGCCTTGTCATTGAATGACCCCGATTGTCAGTAGACTTACTATTTGACTTTCGTCAGCTGCCCTTATTATTTAGTGTTAATCCCTTTCGATATCTTAATGATTATTGTAGACACAGTCTTGTAAATAAATCTTGATTAGTCTTCATCAGCAGCCTATGCTAGTCAATTTCTCTGTTGTTTTTACTCCATTTTGTTATTGTTATGGCGGAAGCTGCTGACCAGCCAAATAATTCGGCTCACAAACGTTGGCTCATCGCATTATTAATCCGCACCCCCCTATCGAGGACATCTATTTTTTCTCCCCTCCCCTCTCGTTAAGGGGATTTAAGCAAATTTTTAGCCTCCCTTGTGGAATTTCCGCAGATTTTTACTGAATTTTAGCCATGCCCAAGGAATTTCCGCAAATTTTTTATGAACTTTTAATCCATCCCATGGAAATGTTTTTGATCTAGCCAGTGGAAATTCCGTACTGATTCTTTGATTAGTAGCTATCCCTTGGAAAATTCCTTGCTGATTTTTATCCTATCCTTTGGAATTTCTTTTCCATTCTTGACCTCGCATGGAAATTCCATACGTTTTACTCATTTTTCTTACCTACCCTTTGGAATTTCCGCAGATTTGCTTTAAAATTTGGACCCTCCCATGGAAATTCCTTCATTTTTGGTTCACTTTTGCAGGGGGCCATTGGAAATTCCACATGTCCTCAATAGGGCGGTGGATTAATAATGCGATCATAGGCGTACCGGGCGGGGGGGCGGTAGCCCCCCCCCCCAGTTTTTTGGGCAGTCGGGCAATATTCGATTAACAGTCGGGCAATTTTGGTTTGTTATAAAAATAAATGGGACAAATTCTGTCAATTTTGTCGAAAATTTTGTCAATTTTGTGGCAAATGTATTTTTTTGGGAAAATGGTACGCGGGAAAATGGTACACTGACCGAAATTTTTTTGGCGACGGGGAGGGGGGGGAGGTCGCCAAAATAATTTATCCGGAAAAAAATTTTTGGTACCAGTCGGGCACAATCACGAAAAGTCGGGCAATTTTCTTTCCGCCCCCCTAAATTTTTCCTTCCGGTACGCCCATGAATGCGATCGGCCGTTGTAGCCTTGGACGATTTTGCCTCCATCAAACAAAGATCATGATAAACCTACATCCTTCCGAAAAATAGTAGCTTTATATGCCTTAACTGACAAAGTATCTATAAATGTTTCTGATATATTTTCCAAATATAGAAATGTTTATGTAGTAGTAGAACTGATTAGATTTAGTCTGTTTCATTCTTGACGGAGCAAAGCTTAACATTATTTCCGGACAAATATTTTAAATAAACACATTTTAATATTAAAGATATAACAATTGCCCAAGAGCTTTTAGCTCATCAAGGGGCTCTTGTTCTATTTACAAGAATTTGGTTGCAAGTAGGCGGTAAATATATTATGTCAATTTAATATATAACCGGACAAATTAATATAACCAAATATTAGAAATTTTTAGAATTGGGAACAATTTCATAACTTTTACCAAACATTGACAAACTTTTGCCAAGTTTGACCTGCAGTTTCGAAAGCAAACAATTCGCGACATGTTGCACGTGTTTTTGACAGCCGAATTATTTGGCTGGTCAGCGGCTTCCGCAAAATAACAATAACAAAATTGAGTTACAACAATGGAGGAATGACTAGCATTGCCTGTTGACAAAAGAAGCACGATTTTATACATATGAGACTGTGTATAAAATAATCATAAGATGTCGAAAATGATTAATTTAAAACTCTAAGGAATAATGGCAGCTGACGAATGTCAAATAATATGTCAACTGACAATCGATTCGTTGATCGAGGCATATATTATCTTTGTATAAATTATATTGGGGTAGGTTTTCTCTTGACTTTTTAAATAATCTTCAAAGTAAATCGATGTTCGATAATTTGTTAACTAACGGACATCTTTACCTGTTGCAAATTTATAATTTGTCTTTGTTTATATTCAGCTAGAAAATTTTTATTACTTATACAATATGGCCCATATTTAACGAAAATGCCTGTGTCAGTGCATTTTCCTAAAAGACTTTAGACAACAGCAAAGGTCAAACGAATGTTATCACTGTTCTAGGTCAAAATAATAAGTAAAATTTCGGTCTTTGAAAGCAGAGTTTGCAGTAAACGATGAACGTTCTTATTTGATCTAAACTACCGAAAGTCGAAAATGTTGATTATTTGTTGGCCTGTAGTACCCCCAAAATTTACAGGCCGCAATATTTAATTTTACATTATGTAAGACCAACCTTTAATCTCACCATACAAATAATATTACATTCATGGCAAGTCTAACTTTTGAATTTTAGGATTTTTATTTCAACAATTTTTAAGGAACTTGGAAATCTATATTTTAGTCTGTCATGAATGATGTCATTTCTATTATTAGAAAACATATTTGAAAAATGTGTAGATACCTTTTTACTTAAGACATATAAAGCTACTATTGTGTGGAAGGATTTAGTTTTATCATTATTTTTGTTTGATGTAGAGAGCTTTAAAAATCGGTAAAAATCCACTATTGACAAACAGCAAAAATCATAATTTTAACCCTCAACTTGACCCCCCTGGAACTTTGCCAAAATGCAGTTAGACTGAAAACAAGATGCATTTTGAAGCAACCCTGATAAAGGAAATCTCAAGTACCAAGTTTGAGAGAAATATATTTCTTGATCCAAAGAGGTCATGAGGTTCTTACAGAGACTGCCTCTTAAGAAGCTGTTTTTAATTCCCAGGAGCAGAAAATTGCGCACTTTACCAGGAGATATTCCTAACTTAATTCTAATAGATGCACCTTGTCCATATTTTACGCATCATTACGTCCAGCTGTTTGGTAGGGCATTCAAATTTAACAATAAGTGATTTCAATAGTTTTCGGTTTTTTTGGGACACCCTGTAGTGTGACCTACAGTGGGCGACGTGTCTCCCAAAGGAGAGGCGTCACTCCCGACAGAGTGGCGAATAAAATGACATCGGCAGGACGAAGTGTGACCTACGGAAGGTGGCGTTTCTCTCAAAGGAAAGGCGTTACTGTCCAAAGAGTGGCGAAAATATAACAGCATAGTCAGCTAACGTACCCCATGGAGGGTGGCGTTTCTCTCAAAGGAGAGGCGTTAGTGCGTTACACTCGAAAGAGTATATCGCTGTTTCAAATACTTTTAAGGTGGTTATTGGATAATAAAGCATCATCTTGAACCTTATTGTTGTATAATTATCACATGTTGTGTCAATTAAGCGTTCCGCAAATATTAAATGTTCTTCTTTGTATTTTTAGAACAATGTATGTAAAATGCATTTGTTTATTTTTTCATAGATTCGTGAATTCCACAACGTTTAAGCGCTCGTTCCAGGGAAAAGCAATGCGCCATCATAGATGGAAATGTATACACTTGTGGTCCAGTGATATGCAACTAGTGAGAGTTGCTACATGCAATGCACAAAATATTAACCTAAAATGGTAAAACGTTTTAGCTTAGTAATAATATTTTAGTTTGCACAATGCATAATCTTGTAAATATATATATTAATCATAACTTAGTGACTGACAGATTTGAGAATACAATTTCCATTTAAATACAGCAGTCTCAATTATCTAATATCATGATAGATAAGATAGATAATCCGTTGAATGAAACCATCTAGCAGCCATAGCGCTGAATTACATGATTTATATACAAAGCATTTTTACAACTATTTACAAAATTATTAAACATTTTATAAAATTATCTCTAAGCTATTAGTATACGTACGGCATTGAAATACCAACTGTTACAAACTTACAAATTTATTAATCTTGATATTATGAATGTATCTCTAAATCTATTGGTTCGGTATTTTTGGATATTAAAAGGTTTATTATTCCTAAGTTTATTCCTAGCTATTATTACGAAGTTTGTGTTCTTCATCGTTTAAAATTGAGGCGAAGAGTTTATTACATAGATCACCCCTTCGTACGTATAAAGTCTTTAGACCTAACAAGTTTAGAGCGTCCTCATAGGATAGTTCAGGGTAAATAATACGTAGCGCTCTCTTTTGAATCCTTTCGATTACATCCGACAGATATTGTGGCAAACGATAATGGAAGACCTTACATGCATATTCAAGTATCGACCTTACTGAAGCGACATAAAAACACTTCAAATCACTAGCGTCAAGTCCAAACCTTTTTAAGCTGTTTCAACAAATAGATTCGTTTCGATGCCTTATTAACTATTTTGTCCACATGTTCGTTCCATTTTAAATCGATTGTGATTGATAAACCAAGGATCGACAATATCTCTGCTCGATCAATCTGTGACAATAATAATGGGAGGGAAGTTAGGTTGATTCCGTTTAAAGGACGCTACGAATTCTTTACATTTTGGAAGATTAAGCTGGAATTTATTTCTTTGAGACCAATCAACCAAAGAAACTGTTACGTCTTGCAAAGAACTGTTATATCTGCGTGATCAACGATGTGTTCTGAGACATTAGTGTCGTCCGCGTATTTCATCATATCCCCATCAAATTGTTCGTTAGCCTGCGTGCAGCCTGACTTTGAAGGGGGAAAAGTCAGTCTGCGAATCAGGGAACAATACCGTCTTCGCGCCATCTTTTGAATTGCATGGTTTCTGACATTCTGTATTCAAACGTGATTGGCTATTGCTCAGAAGCTTAATACACGCGCTTTGATTGACCAATTGTTAATACATTCAGTTCAACAAAATGATATACAGGATGCCCGTATTGTTACAATTTGAATACACTAGCACTAAGCTAAACGCAAACATGCGTAAAATATTGGCAGGGTGCATATATTAAATATTTAACTTATTAAGAAATTAAAATATCTTTGTAAAGCACACTGCTCTTGGGAATTTTAAACAACTTCTTAAACGGTTTCTTCATGCATACAATTTAATTATGTCAAGCTTTGATGCACATGTGGGTTCAGCAGAGTGCTGAGGCATTCAAATTCTAACAATACGTTATTTCAATAGGTTTTGGGGGACACTCTGTACTTAGCAAAATGCGTCTTGAGAACGCTCAATGAGAACTCTTTCATACATCTTTTGTATGGGCTTCGTGCATAAATTACACACAACAATGCTTTTCGCGCTTTTATATTATAATAATATATTATATATATATATATATTATATATATATATATATATATATATATATATATATATATTAATATATATATTAATATATATATTAATATATATATTAATATATATTAATATATATATATATATATATATATATATATTAATATATATATATATATATTAATATATATATATATTAATATATATATTAATATATATATATATATATATATATATATTAATATATATATATATATATATATATATATATTAATATATACGAGGGGCACTTCACTCCAAAAAAGCGTACGGGATTTTCGAATTTTTAAAAATCCGCGGATTTTTTAGCGGATTTCCCCCGGATTTTTTAGCGGATTTTTGAAGAGAAAATCTGTTGGATTTTCCGGATTTGTTGGGATTTTTCGGATTTTTTCTGGATTTTTGAAAATCTGTTGGATTTTCTGGATTTGTTTGGATTTTTTTAAATTATAGAGTTATAGACCAATTGCGAAACTTAGTGGCCGCGCCTTCATACTGCACGAGAACGAGGCTTATATATTATGCAAAAACAAAACAATTTCTATACTTTTACATAGCGAAAAGTGAATTTTAGGGTTTTTAAAGTGTTTTTTCTTGAATCTCTTTGATCTTTTCTTAATATTTCGTGCTAGGTTATATAAATATTTGTTAAATTTATCTAAACATCGATTTCCCACTATATTTTTACCCGCTTTGGAGAGATATTTCGTTGTGATATATATATATATATATATATATATATATATATA